GTACAGCGACGTAGAGAAGACACTGAAAAATTTCTACAAAACTACCTAGGACACACAAAGGCTGAATGCTGCGAGGAAGAACAGCTTCTTGGATCGGGCGCCTGCCAGTGCGCCTTGTGTTCCGCCTAGCTGCTTCACCTTGCGACGGCCCTGGGCGGAAATGTCTCGAACAGCATGAGAAATGAAGGTTGTTCGAGGGTTCCCTAAAGGGCAACATCGCGCCAGCCTATACCGGTTGCAGCTGGCGTGATTTCGATATACCCATACCATTGTCACCTATGCGACCATCGATAGAGAAGACCTCTTTTACTTTCTCTGGCGGTCCTGGAGGACAGATAGACAACTCCCCGACACGCTTTATGTTAGCCAATGTGGCTGGAATTTGATCAGTGGTTTGTTAGTGAAGACATGGCGGGACGCTTTGGAGGAGGAATGCGGATGATATGCGCTCCTTAATGCAACTTGGATCGATACTTTTCCCCCCTGATAGACTGACTGGACCTCTCGCGACGGGCACACTGACCTGTCATCCGTGAACGAAGGCCGACATGCCCTACACCACCTGCGCCAGAGGTGGAAGAACGCGGTCTGGAACTTTGAGTGACGCCATATATTGACGTATGTTCCTACGTCATTTTTGAGTTTTCCCCTTATGTGACGTGACGCAAGAGTTCCAAACGATGCCCGAACTCGTATCTGCCTGACGCCGATCTTCCCCTTTCTCAGACGATAAGTATCTGTCTCTTTCGGTTAATGCCATCCGAGAACCTCCCGTGGGGTTGAGCGCAATTTTCCCTGACAGCCCTGGTTGCCCAGTCGTCTTGCACTGTGGGATTTCCCCCTCAAGCTCTACCCTTACCAGCTCCTAGCTGTCTAGGTAGTGCCGGACCCTAATTGCCATTACCTAAGTCGATAGTCTCGCGGATACTTGTGTAGTCTGGACTGCAGCGGAGCCTATACCTGGGGTGAGCTCGACACCTAAACAATTTACGGCCCGATAATGACACCTGCAACAACACAACAGCAGGGCAAATATTTGCCGTGGACGCTTCGACCAACGGCCGGAAATCGCAGCAACAAAAGCTAGCGGAAGTTGTCAAGTCCGTAAGGCCCACTACCGTCAGCCTCATCGGATCTGAAGCTTCCAAGAAACGCTTATGCTTCTGGCTCAATGCCTGTTGCGCCTTATTACTAGAGATAAGTCCTAGACTGGCTGGCTGGGACTAGATAGGAACCCCTGCGAAAGGAGAACGACGTAAGCAAAGCCCTGGAGTATGTGGAGTGCCCCTTTCTGTTCCCCTAGCAACCAACAGCCTTACCGGCAACACGGGCCATTGTCCTCTATCCGGCCCACCATTGTTATTCATCATGAGAGTCAATTCCCTTACGAAGTTCACGGTGGGTCCGTGCTGACGGAAGATTTAGTAGGCAGTCCGGAATTATTGTGCCTCTTGGGGTCCTTATTGACCAACACCGCGCCCCCCTCAATCGGTCATCTCCCGAAAGGCTGGTAAAGGCCTGAGAAACTTGTTCCTAAGCCCACCATGCCCCCGAGACCCTCGCCTACACATTTCTTGTGTATACCTCTCGTAACTGGAATTTCTCGCCGTCAGCTTGCATCGAATGTAGCTGCCTTTGGCGCGGACATAACGAGCCCAGAGAGTTTTGGTGTACCAGAGCAGGCGGTTAGACCAGTCGGCACGCTCCATCTCACCCTCGGGGTGATGAGCTTCCCCAAAGGAGAAGGTTTGGAGAAAGCAATTACACTTCTGAAAACTTTGATACCCAGACAGCTATTGAGGGCTGTGAGAACGGCTCGGCCAGCCAACAGCTCAGGCGTTGTCCAGGAACCAGTACAGGCTCAGGCACTACCTGTTCCATCATCTCCGCTCCTGTCGGTCACACTCAAAGGCCTCCATTCAATGCAAGGGGCTTCTAAAGCCTCGGTACTCTATGCGCCACCTGTCGACATTGACGGGACTTTGATGAAGTTTTGTGAAAGCGTACGATCTGTCTTCCAAGAAGCCGGACTCATAGCCGAGGAGAACCGACCCTTGTTATTACACGCTACGGTTGTGAACACCATCTATGTCAAGGGGAGAAATACGCGTGGGGGCCACGGCAAGCGGCACGACAGAGTTACCATTGATGCACGTGGGATCCTGGAAAGATACGATGACTACGTATGGATGCAAGATGCGCCGGTAGAAAAGATCGCTATCTGCAGAATGGGCGCAAAGCCGCAAGAGGACGGAGATGTAGCATATGAGGTGGAGGCAGAGATCGACTTGGTATAGGTAGTGGCAGTACTTAACAAATGGTTGAGATGTCATCGAGGAGCAAGGGAGCAGCTAGACAGGTCAGGTCGACCCTGAAGCAATGTGCTTAGGCCCGCGAATCGAAGCATTGCGGCGTTGAATGAGAGGTCAATGCATTGTACAGTACCGTTAATTGTTGGACCCGCGCACCCGATTTCAGGGGTTAACCTTTAGACCTGAACCCATAGGTGCAGCAATCAAGTGGCAGTGTATCGCTTTGGCCCATGACCGTGGGTTACGTTGGCACATAGTAAGCATTTATTATTTTACCGACGCTATTAAGGAACTACCTAGACTAAATACGCTGTAAGATGATCACCACCTGGGCAGTATGATGAGCTGAGCAATGCGATGGATGATGAGCTGAGCAGTTAAAAGAGGGGGCGGCGCGCGTTGAGGCGCAATAAGTACGAAGTAAGGCAGGCAACAACCTTTCTGGATAGGAGATATGCCGAACTTATTCCGGGTCTTCCATTGCGACGGTACAAACGTAATCTGTGCCGTAGAATGACATGTGCGCGTTACATCGTCAGCTCCTCAACGTTAGGGAATCACTCACCAAGATCGATGCGAGCTTGCGCGTATTGCGAAAAGAGTCATCTTCGAAACAGCGAGATGATGTGTCGGTCCTCTGCGAGCACTCCTCCTCCTCCTGCCTGCCCCCTGCTCTATCCGAGACGCGGCCCCGCCCCTCCAGCACCATGAGCACGTCCGACAGAAGACGAGGCACCTCCCATCACAACCTTCGCTCCTCGGCCTCGGGCTCGTCGCGGAGCAGCAGCAGCGTCATAGCCCCGCCGCCCCGGGCCCAGCTGACCGGCGCCCCATCCGCCTCGCCCTCCCCCGGTCCCGAGAACGACGCCCCCGGCAGCGGCCACCACGAGCCCGCGCTGACGAGCAACAAGGAGAGCGGCTCTGCGCTGGCGGCCAAAGGGAAAGAGAGCGTCTTGCTGCTCAAAGAGAAGGATGACAAGATCGCCGAGCTGAAGCGCGAGCTCTCGCTGATGGAGGCCGAGTTCCTGCGGGAGCTCGACCACCTGTCGCAGAACGAGAGCGACTCGACCAGCTTCTGGCAGTCCAAGTACTCCAGCCTGAACGCGCAGCTGCTCAAGGCCGACGCGGAGCTCGAGCTGCTGCGCACCGAGGTCAACGTCCGCGAGGCGGACCGGGTCGAGCTGCGCGAAGGGTGGGAGGCCCTGCGCAGGCAGCTGCGGGAGCGCGACGACGAGGTCCGCTCCCTGCGGGCCCAGATCTCGGGCCTCAAGCAGTGGGTGAGCACGAGCACGACCCGGGGCGACCAGACCAGCGACGACGCGTTCGGCGACGCCGCGGCCAAGCTCGGGAACGGGCTGCAGAACTGGGTCATCGTGCATTTCAGGAGAGCAAAGCTCGGTACGCACGCAATTACCCTGACATTGCCCTGCCCTCGCCCTCGTCTTATTGCGCTGGGATAACCCAGACTGCCTGCTAACACTTCACGCAAGACTTTTCCAGGGCGGACGAGGCTATCATTGACGACTTGAGCGAGCTCGTGCCCATGTACGAAGAGCTAGCAGCGCCCGCGAAGATACATCTACTACAATCTATCGTCTCCAGCATCTGGGTGGACATGATCTTCCGCGCCTACTTCGTAGGGATCCCCGAGGAACAAGCGATCCACCTCAGCGAGGCGGAGAAGTACATGGCATCTACATGTATGTTGTCATATTATTCATTCATTCATTCATGCGTTCATGCGTTCATGTCCTCATAACAACCAAAACCCCTACTCTCACACGCGACTGATCCCTCGAACCCCAGGCTCGACCGAGACCGTCAACCAATGGCGCGCTCTCACACTCACCATGCTGCAGAAAGAAACTGTGAAGATGCGCGAGGCCACGGATGCCGCGGTGGAGCGGGTCGTGTCGCGGACCAATCGCGTGCTAGACGCCATCACCATCACCATCGACGGCGGCGGCGGCGGCGGCGGCAGCGGCGGCCCATCCGCATCCGCATCCGCATCCGCATCCGTGGCCCGGGACCAGACACTGCGGGCGCTCGTGGGCAGCGCGGTGGAGCTGGCGCGCTCGCTGCGGGCGCAGAAGGCGCTGTTCGCGGTCACCATGCCGCGGGTCCTGCCGCACCAGCGCGTGCCCTTCGAGCCGCTGCTCATGGAGGACGTCGGGGGCGAGGAGGACGACGACGAGGGCCTGGCGGCGCGCGAGATCGGCTGCGTCACCTTCCCGGGCATCGTCAAGACCGGGGACGAGAACGGGGCCCACCTGCACTTCCAGAACGTGGTCGCCAAGGCGCGGGTGCTTTGTAGTAGTTGTAGTAGTGGTAGAGGATGATGAAAATTCAAGAGAGAGAGAGAGAGAGAGAGAGAGAGAGAGAGAGAGAGAGAGAGAGATGAGCGATGAGAGGGAGGATGGAGAGAGGGAGATGAGAAGAAATGAGAATGACCACCCATCACGATTTGACGAAGAAGTATCCTTCCTACATGCTGGGCAAGCAAAGAAAGGCCTTAACATAAGCCTGTCCGTTATCAAAAAAAAACAAAAAACGGCAACGTTGTGAGTCACGATAAAGATCAAAGCAGAACTAGGTACCGGTTGTCACTTTCGCCTTTTATGACACACAATAACAGTCAAGTGGATCATCACCAGCAGTAGCAACTGGCAAACAAAAAAAATCAAACGAAGCTTGGTGGCGCAGTGGAAGCGCGCCGGGCTCATAACCCGGAGGTCGCCCGATCGAAACGGGTCCAAGCTACGGTTTTTTCTTTTCTTTTTCTTTTTGTTTTATATAACCATTTTTCCACTCTCTCTCTCCCAAAGTTCCTTGAATAAAGACCTCGGGACCTGTGACTATGAAACAGATCCTTCTTTTTCTTCTTTTTTTCTTTTTTCTTTGAATAATAGTTTTGACTAAATGGCGACCGCGTAGTGTACCGCGTAACATGTGTCTGTCACCTTATTAGGACGTGGGGAAGGTTTTTTTTTTTTTCTTCCTTCTCCCTTTTGTTATGGATGGTTTGTATCATGTTTATTAAGACGCTGTACTTCGTACGCAGCAATTATTTGAACGAACTTAGCGTGTAATCTACCGCGTCTAGGTTGTACATAGGGCGACAATTTTTCCATGTCGCAATTGATATATGTAGTGATACCGCTGTGACCAGATTATAATCTAACATCTACGTAGTCAACCATTATCTAGATCCCGCAGAGAATTGAGTAATTCCTCTGAAGATGTTACTAGCATTCAGTCAAGGGGGGTGCGCAAAACACATGTTCTACAAAACACGGGACATCATCTCGTATCGTCAAAGAAGAAAACAATATGCTTGGGGTCTTTTAAAAAATAAGAAGGAGGGGGGGGGGGGGGGGGGGGGGGGGGGGGGAGACAGCCTTATGAAACAATGGACATCCTACCTCATCACCATCGAGCACTACCTACTTAATCATGCTATCATACCAAGATTTCCAAGATGACTCGATTAATAGATGTTTCTATAGTGGCTATCTACCGAGATCCCATCCTCTGCGGAATACGTTATTTAGAGATTATTTGACAATCCCACCACTACAGCAAGACCAAAACCCCCATTCTCCCCCCTTTTCCCAAGCCAAAGCGGTGTGCACGGGCCATCGAAGTAGGGGGAAAAGGGGGAGGGGGGGTAAACAAACCAGAGATACAGGTGGGAAGGGGAAAGACGACGGGAGCGCGGGGCGGGGGCTAGGGGACGCGAGAAAAAAAAGAGAGAAAGCGACCGCACGGCGGGAAAGGATGAGGCTCTGCGGTACATTTTTTTGCCAGTGACTCGTATTGCCGATCGTGATCCAATGAGCAACCCCGGTTGAGCGTGGGCGTACGTGTGATATGGTTATGCCCTCCCCCCACGCGTCGACCAATAGGGGACCATCATACCCCTCCCTTTTGGCATCCCTCACTTTTTGACATCCACTTGTCTGTCGGAATGAAAGCCCGTCATCAACAACAGCAGCAGTAGCGGCAGGCAAGGGGGGGGGGGAGCGTATTAGATGGGATGAGATGAAAGAGGGAGGGAGGCAAAAGCCACGGCTTACCTATACCACCACAACACGTGCATATAGAAGGACGTATCGCTTACCTGCATTGAATAGATAGACAGATGGTTATGGGTGTAGTAATCATCCCCAGATGCTGTTCCCTGATATCCTAGCTTTCACCGGCTTCGTTTTAGTCAGCCAGTTGTGATATTCGTCCTGTTGCCTTAAGGGCTGTAAAGCAATGGATATCCTTGCCGGATTCTCGGAGCTCCAAATACCAAGGTGTTGATCCCTCCCAAGCTCGAGCACGAAGGGAACGTCTGGTGACGTGCGGTCGTGTGGTCTACAATGTCGGGGACAAGGCTCAACTGGCTTGTCCAAGATGCCTATGACACCGGCAGCTCTGTACGCTCAACCATACATATGTTATATAGATACTCGCCGGAGGCCGTTGAAACGATCTCGCTCCGAGGTGGTACAAAGACCGTGGTGACTGTTGGGTGTCGCACACGGAGAGCCCCTTTTGAAACTAACCCCTCAGGATGTTGTCGTTGACTTCAAAGTTTGATATATGAGACAAGTAGGTAATCTAGGGAGGCGTTCGGGGAAGCAGAACACTGTGATTGACCAACCGCACCAAACCATACACCTACCCGGAACCCATTTCCAGCAAAGAGTGTGTATGTACCTGTTCGCTGACACGAAGGCAACGCACAGGCGGCATCACAATAAACAGAGTGACAGACGCATGACGAATCTCATCTGCTTACGTTCATGTGTCTCGGACGCCTTCCCTTCATTCGCCCCTGTAGCTCGCTTGTTCGACGAAGATGTGCTCCTTGGGCGGGATTTGGCTCACACGCATGGCGAACGCTCCCCTCCATCCCACGCAAACCCACTTTTGAGAATGTATTATTATGTAGGGAATGAGTACTTACCCTACCCTTCGAGCTCGAAGTGCAGGATGGGGGTGAGGCAGGTCGTTTCATTCCCCTCGGTTAAAGCCGTTATCACGGGTTCTTGCTGGCGGGACGACATCCCGCAGCGAACGAGATCATGAGTCGTCTCATGAGGGTGTGATCTGGCAATCGCTGACTGGTTCGGGTTTGGGAAAGATATCGAAGGAGGCGAACAAACATTCTTGGGAAAAGAATCCGTACTTACCTATTTGAGGGAAGGGTAGTAGTCATGGTTACACAGACAGAATCCACGTAACTTTCCTCCCTATGTCATAATTACTGCCGATTCTGGGATTCGCTTCAAGTCAGACGTTTCGAGCTGGTTCCCATTCTGTCTTCCAGCTTATAAAAGAATGAGGTGAGTATAACCGGTGCTGTTGAGGTCGCTCATAGATCCTAGCTGCCAAAGAAACTGACGGGCCAGATCAAGCCGCGCCTGGAAACAAATGAAATGTGATGTGGCTGAACTCCATGCAACAAGTCCCATCCATGCTCAATGTGAAAGTAAAGCGTGAGATGGACTGCAACTTGCTGGATGATCGCGATTGGCAGTTTCGTGCACCGCGGGAATGGCTACATCAATGCCGCCGTAATGTTCAATAGCAAAAGTGGTGTGTGCTCTCCCCTGATAGGCGTGAGTATAGCAGGGCTCCCCCCGGGTTGCCATACCCCTGCAAACCGCGGAGTGGGAGGAGGATGGAAGCGCTTAGGGGACCGCGTCCGCTGTGAATGATAAATGTTGTAAAATGGATAGAAGCAACCCCTCTTTCGGAAGTTGGGATTTTGCCAACGCATCGACTCGTGAACCTACCCGACAAGGATATCCGAGGGGAAGGAACACCTTTGCTCGGCAAGTTCTCTGGAATCATCCCGCTTCGTGTCCCTATATTCTGATATTGTTCCTTGCCGACGAGTGGAAGGGCCGCGTGTTGTCCGACGACCTGGCTGCATCAGAGCCGCAAACCCACGAACCGCTCTATACTGAACATCCCGCCCTTCCTCTCCTTCTCCGGGATTTGAATTAGGACACTTCGCGCAATTGACTGCCGTCTTATCCTGTCATCTGATTGCGAACCTACCCAATCTTTCGTGTCGTGTTCCTTACAGATACTCTAGTATCCATTCCATCGACCTCCTTTTGCATCCTTGCCACGCAGGTTGGGAACATCAGGTACAGCTGTTTGGGCCACCCCGCTAAGCTGTGTCTGCTGTTGTAGAAATCCCAACTACCACTAAAGCAGTCGACCGGTTGTCGTTGTGTGTTGGGAATGTTCGAGGTTCTCCGTGCCGATGCAGCACATATAGCTTTTGGCTTTGCACCACACCCCGATAGTAGTGGGTGAAGCTATACGACGATTCGTCTTTTTATTGGCAACCATCACTCGATATTGTCCCCCCTGAGTCAGTGATCAAGTATTCGCATCAGGATGTCATCTTCCTCGTTAGCAGGCGACAGTGTTTTCTCGGTGTCGTGGGCACCTTCGACAGCTTCAACGAGTTATACGGCGGCGAGTACAGCAACGTTTTCCACAGTTCAAGATGGTGTGGGCATTGCCGCAGCGGGTGGCGGCCAACCTGTTCTCCCTTGCGAGTTGGCCGGATTCGGTTGCGAGGCCACTTTTCATCACGAGGACACAGGAAATTGGATTGACCATATCACCGCAGGCCATATGTACGACAAACTACCTAAGAAAGCCGTATGCTGGTTCTGCGATGATGAGTTCGACGAAGACAGGTATGGAGATCGTCGGACTGCTTTCGAGTACAGGCTGTTGCATGTTCGAGAACACATCATCGATGGAGGCTTGACAGTGGACAACATGCGGGCGGACTTTCATCTGCTAGAGCACTTGCGCCGCCACCGCCTGATTGCGGACAGTACATACCACTTGTATCGCAGAATAGGGACCGAGCAGCGCCCGCCTGGCACGATGGAATTGTACGCTCCGGGCCAGAAACCGCCAGAGCGAATGCTGCAAGAAGAAAGAGACTCGCAGGTGATACATGATCTCCAGAAAGAGGAGAGGCATCGTCGCCGACATCATGACCATCATGGACATCATGGACATCGTGGACATCGTGGACATAGACACTAAAGCTGAAGGTGAGCCGCCTATAATGATAGACCGATGACCATACTGATGGTTAATCACTTACAGCAGGGAAACCTGGGGCGTAGATGAGAACAGCGAGTTGGGAAACGATAGGGAAGAACGGGAGGAAGAGAAGAGAAGGGAGGAGAGGAGAGGAAGGGGAGGAGAGGAGAAGGAAGGGGAGGAGAGGAGAAGGAAGGGGAGGAGAGGAGAAGGAAAGAAAGACATGGTTATCACCCATACGTGCTTCAAGGCGACTAACCTTAACCTTACCTAACCTGCTCCCCACCAACCAATAAGCATCCGTCCTGCGAGAGCTCAAAGAGGCTGTGTCGATCACCGACGTCTCCAGGCCCGACTGCATGATTCTGCATTTTGCATTTCTCTTCCCCTTCCCCCCTGATTTCATTTCATGGGTTTTGAATCTTGATTGGTATTTTTCCTCATCGTTCCGCCAATGCGTATATCCGACGAAGCCGACATGTCGTCTTTCACAATCCAATCCCTCAAGTTGTGAGCGCTCTCCTGACGAGGGGTTCGGTGTGTGCGGATGTATGGTGCTATCGGCAAGGCAGATTTTTGGTTTTTTTTACCACACAAGTCGGGCGCGAGGCTATCTTGGGCCCTCAACCCGCGTCCGCATGCACAACGTCGCATTGCATCAATTGCCTTGTCGATTCCCGACCGAC